TCTTTAGTTAGGTCCTCATGATCAAAATCTTTATTTGCTCAAATATATCATCAGTAAGTATAAATTCTTCCATATTGGATTAATAAATGTGACTTCAATTTTATGTCTAGACAGAATAAAAAAAATTTTTTTTTTTTTTAAAAAAAAAAGACGCCTTTTAAAACGTATTACAGTTACACAGCAGCGATTGACAAAATCATTTTTATTTAGGTCAAAACAATAAAATGTTCAATAAGTCAGCTGATGATCACAAAAATCACAGATTATTAAGAAATTTCCTTTTTTATAAATCCCAAACAAAATACTTGTTTCACAAAAAAAAATCTGTGTCGATCATCCAACACCAAAATATTATTATACAATGGTACTTTATTGAATTTTGAAAAATACATTACAGTCAATCAATATCATTACCAGTAACAATGTGCATTAAAATTACTAATAATTAGGCCACACAAATTCGAATTTTCGGTTCACTTCACCCGGCCGGGTCACTTTTTCAAATTTCAATAAAAAAAAGTTTATATATAAAAAGTTTATCACGTGATCAGGACGTAATTTTATTGGCGGGCAAGTTTATCACGCGGCTGAGAACTTCTAGAGCGAAAATAAATTCCTCCCTTTTAAAAGTCAACCAATCAAATGTCACGATTTTATATATAAACTTTTTTTACTAATAAACAATAAACCCCGGGTCCCCGGGTCGATTTTAAATTTCAATGTTACGTGAACCGAAAAATTGAATTTGTGTGGCCTTAGAATCGTGTTAAAATTTTAGGCTAAAAAATTTTTAAAAAATGTATTATAGTTGCATAAAACTAAAAAGAAATATTTTACTATTATTATATGATGGAAATTCATATTAATGAATGAATTCAGTTATAATATAATTCGTCATTAAAGTAGGTACAGTAATACTTATAAAAATTTCAATCTGCTTGTAAATAAAAAAATAATTATTTATGACAAAACAATAAATTATTAAAATTTCTATTTTAACATCATTTTTACAAATTTTATTATTAAAACAAATTGGTATTTAATGACATACTAAATATTTTTTTAAAATTCAAAAATATAATAATTTAATAAATGAACGTCAAAAGTAGTAGTTACGCTCAAAGGTACTGTAAATTATCAAGCATCAGCAGCAAGTTGTCAGTAAAATAATTTGATTGCATTATTTGGTTTCCATCATCTATAAAAAATTATTATTATAAATAATCATTGCTATATTTATAAATGAAATAATTAGAAAGGAAGTTATTTGAAAATATCATAACTTTGCTTACATATGTGGATAAATGAGGGGCGGTCAGTATTTTCAATTATGGACATGTGAACAAAGTCAGCTTAATAACCAGCCAAACAAGAGTAAATGTTAAATATGACAGTAAGCTTTACCAAATAGTAAAATTTTATTATAATTAGATTTAATGTTTTGAAAAAATTAAATTTTAAGTACGAAAGATAAACAAAAAAAAAATCAAAAAAAAAGAAACTGATTGATAATCAGCTAAGCATATCCAGGTTATTTCTGTGTCACATGCAAGATCTCTTGACTGAACCTAAAGAAAAAAAAATGAAGAAAATAAATAATTTTTAATTTACACCCAACAATTTACTATCAAATTAAAAAATATATAACTTTAAATATAAGTACTATATTTGATTATAAATCCGTAGCACCGCAGCTTTTTCGATCTGATTATCAAACCTGGTCTAAACCTTAAAACGAAAAAAAACAATAATTTGTTCTTGGTAAAAGAGTTATTTTCTTTTTGGATGTCTTTTTAAATAAAAAAATTTCAATTGTTTTAATTTCAAAATAGTTAGTATTTTGAGTATCTCTTATATAGCTATTTTATACTAAAGATAAAAGTATGTACTGTACCTTTTTCAAAAATAAAAAAAAAAATTTAAATCAATTGGCATGGATAATTTAATGTGCTCAGTTTTATTTTTTTTTTTATGGATGGCGAAAATTTTACGTTATCTCTCTCTATAAAATTATTTGTATCATATACAAGTTTAAAAACTTAAAAATTTTTTTTTATATAATAATTATATTAAATCTTTCTATTGATTATTATTATAATAATATAGAATAAATAAATGTAAATTCTCATAAAAACAATAATTTTTGAAGATTTTTTTTGTTTCATTTATTTGATGATTTTTTTTTTTATAGCGATAGATGGTAGATCCAGCGTAAAGTTATACAATTCGAAAATATATAAAACAATAATATTAAAAAAATTTATTTTTTTTTTGTAAGTTTAAAATAATATATACAATTGATATTTATCTATTAATAAATAAAATATTTTTAAAAAAATTCGAACTAATAGCAATATATAAAGCATCCAGTTCATTAAGGAAATAGAAAAAAGAGAAATATTTATTATTTTAAAAACTAAAAAGTTAGGATAACCAATTTGAATAAAACAATCAACATGTTATTGTTTCGAATTCAAAGGGAAAATCAATTCACCGTTTTGAAGCCAAGAGCTGAACTTAAAAAAAAAAAATAAATAAAAATAAAAATAAATAATAAATTAAACTAAATAAAACAAATTATTATTAATTTTTCTATTAAAATAAATAAAAACTTACCTAAAAGAATCTAAAAAATATTTAATAAATAAATCAATTCTAAATCAAAGAGAATCAAACGCCTGTAGCGCTGTACCAATTGTCGAATAAATTGGCCACTCCATCGGTTTTGAAGCCAGAAAACCAAAGAACCTAAAGAAAAAATAAAAAATATTTTAGTCATTCAATTTATTTACTTAATAATTATAAATTATTAATCAATAAAAACAAACGCATAACCTATTACTGAACGACCTACATCTCAATAATCCCCGAAGCCAGGAGTCAAACCTAAAAAAAGCTAATGTCAATTTTAAATGAATAAAAAAAGGAATAGTACCTATCAAATCATTGCAACAACACAAGATGATTCCGAATGAATTAGCCACCCATCAATTTTATCGTCTTTTTGATCTAACCGAGTTTAGATTAGGATAAATAACCATTTCGGAAATATCAAATATCCGCAGCAGACAATAGCAAATGGTGAAATTGATTCATCATTAATTTAAAATTATTGAAAAAGAGATTGATTCGAATTTTTTTTTTAATTAAATTGTTCAATGAATATTTCTTAGCGTGTTACTAAATATTGGAACTAGTTCGCGCTTAAATAATGATATCACGTGACTTTGAGATTTCAAACAGAATTTTGTAATCGACTAATAAAAAAGTTAGTAAATAATTCGTAATTCGTATATCTAAAAATTCATTACCAAATATTTATTTCTAAATAAAGTTTTCTTCCTTGGAAACAATCAATTTCAAACTTACTCTTCATTGCTTTTATAATTGTTCTTTGTGCGAAAGTAATATGAATTATTTGAAAAAAAGGGTTTTTATTTTTCCAAGTCTAGACAAATTGCGTAACCTTAAACTCCATTATCAAACATAACTCCGAAGTAAAACTTAAGGGTGCGTTTTATGCACTATGCATAAAAAATAAAATTTCTTGGAAAAATACGTATACATTGATTGAAAAAAGCTAAAATCTTAAATTTGATCAAGTTAAATCTAATGATTTAAGGTTGACACTATAAAAATAAATAATAATACTAAATATACTACCTAGTATTGAATATTTCTCTTATTAATTTATATTTAGTTGTTAGTATTATTTATTAGCGCAATTATTTAGAAAATTGAAGACGGTGAATGAAGAAGAAAAAATGACCATGCTAAAATAAGCAAAGTAAATAATAGATTTTTTTTATACTGATAATAAAAATAGTAATTAAAAATTGAAAATTTGACATATTCTTGAAATAGTGACTTCAACAAGTGTATAGTACAAAATCTTTTTGTAAAGAAAATGCCTTAAATTGGTTCACAGAAGCGTCTTTCCACTATTTGCAAGGCCGGCGTTATAAAAAGGTTCGGCCAGAATCATGTAGCTCGTGGGAAGCAAGGAATAGTTGTAGCATAAATAGTAAGATTGACCTTTAATTATCACCTGAGTGATGGATTACCGGGTTACACGTTTTTGGTTTAGTAATTATTTATAAAGAAAAAATAATTCAGCTGAATTCATTGACCACTATATGGACAAGTGGCAAATTAATTTTGCAACCGGCATATCGGCAGATTTGATTACACTATAATCAATTTGATAATTTTTGTTACACAAGCATTACATAAGGCGTAGTAACTTAAAAAAATTTTTATTTAGTTTTGCTATACAATAATTTGATAAATTCTTCTTTTAAGTCAAAAATATAATAATAATCTCCGTTATGGGATCTCACTTTGCGCAATAATTTCTGGATTTTTTTTTGAAAGTATATATGTTTTACAATCAGTTTGAGTGTAAAGTTCCTATAACGTGTACAATAAAATAAATGTGAATTTAATAGTTATATGACTTAAAAAATATAAAAACTAGGCAATTTTATAAAAATTATTATAAAAAAAATTTTAAATTTTAAACAATATTCATTGAGTTTTAAATATTTTTAAAATATTCATAGCTATTTTACATTTTGTTTTATTAAAGAATACTTAATTTTCTAATTTTGCGTTTACTTTATGAAGTATTAAATGTTAACTTATTATTTAGTCAAATGAGATAGTCTATCAGGTGATTTTTGGTATTACAAACATAATTTTGGGTAACGGAAATTATGAAAATCTTTCAGATTTAGCGTGAAGCTATTCAACGAATCCCTTGTACTGCAGTTAGCGATTGGGAAAGGGTCAGCACCTGATCCTAAATAAAGGATGAATCCGTTGATTCAGATTACAATCCGGATGACTCTTTAAGAATAGGATCGGAACACTACTGAAACCGGAATTATTTCCGAAAACCAGGATTAATAATTCTAAATTAAATATAATAAGATTATACATTCAGACTTGCTTTGATGAACGAGTAATTTTCCAAGTAAATTATCCTAAAGTTTTAAAATTCTATCTATAACTTGGTATTTAAGGTAATGCTGTAAATTTTAATGGATATATGATGACTTTAAGAAACATGAAATAACTCATTTTCACCCGGAACTTCTAAAGAAAAATTTTTTCTTATCGGAATGAAAGATTTGATTATTATTATTGAAGTATTAATGGCTTTAAAAAACGAGAGATTTTATGGAAAAGACAGATGTTTTGGAATATTTTTGCGAAATTTGAAACGAAAATGTTAAGTTATTAAGGATTAAAAATAATATGAAATTTATTATAAATTTATTATGATTATAGCATAAATTACAATACTGTATAGTTTATACAAAAAAAATTTCCAAGTAATTTTTACTATACGACTTGATATACTTTTGTTAAACTATGTCCCATTGAACCGTGCATCGTATATGGATTCGTCCATCTTAGAGAAAAAAATTATATAAACTGAAAAAATCCTACTGCCCGTAGTACTTACTTACGCACTGAATTGTATACACACGAGCTTTCTTACAAGGAACTGTTTCAAGTAGTTTGTTCAAGATTCGCATTGCATTACGGCTAAGATTTACCTTATCATCAACTTTTACCTCTTGAGAATTCGATAATTATTACTTTCTGATGGGTTCTTTTTTCTTGTCTTAAGAATCATCAAAGTACCATCAATTTTGTGATTCTTTGTTTCTTCAGTGAGCATTTCCATCCTGAATCAAATAAAAGGAAATTAACAGATACAACTCAAACTTTATATTGGAAATTCAAAATTGAACATTTACCATTTCTGATTTACCAAATTCTTAGGGTCAGGGTGAAGAGTAATACGAATAGTAGTATAGTATGGTGAACCAAATGATTATCGTATAGTCATGTGAAATGATCATTTTGTAAACCTACTACTGCGTATATACTTAGTATGTTGCAATTATTGCGTATATATGTACTACAATAATCAATGAGTAATACAAATATAAATAAAATTTCCATTTAGAGGATGTAGGTGATGTAAGTTACTGCGGAAATTGCGTAATTATATACGAGTCTATCAATGTCATCACATTATTAGTTACGAAGTTTATTTAAGTATAAATATACACACCAAACTTCTTTTACATAAAAAATTTTTTATTCAGTCTTCTTACATAAAAATTTTTTTACATAAACTTTTTACCTAAAAATTTTTGCTATGATGTTTGACTCAAAATCAATTTCCCAATATGTTGATTTTTTTGTTAAGGAAGAAAAACCAATACCAACCACATTTTTTAAAGAGTTCAGCTTTTCCTCAAAGAAGGAAGGTGTTTCAAATTGGTACACCACTCTCAGGAAGAGCCTTAAAATTTATAATGATGATCCCACACTTAATGAGATCAAACAAATACATAAAAGGCCATTATAGGCAAAGCATTGATGATTATTTCTGACCTTCCAAAAGTGCTCAGAAGGAAAAGGTTTGTTGAACTTACTTATGTAGCTGGTTTATTAAATTTATTTTATCTAAGCTATTCTTTGTCAGACCTTCATTGATATGATCTTAACCAATAAAACTGGTAAAGTGATTTGAAGATGTGTAAACAATCATCTTCCAGAAGAAAATGACGAACAGAAACCTCCAAAAAAACCTTGTCTAAGAGAGTCAAACCAGGAAATAATAAATCAAGGAAATTCATCTATAAATCTTGATTTTGAACATTTCAAAACTCAGGAATTATTAAATAATAAAAAGGGTATTGTCATTTATCAAATACAGGCAAGATAAAACATATTTATTAACTAACCATAAATGACACAAAATTTCTATTCGTGGGAGGATGCCATTAATAAGATCAATTTTAGGACTTCCTCTAAAGATGATGTAAATATTACACCATTTATTACATTTATTACATTCACTACACGTACTTATGCATTAATAATATTTTTTAGTGGATTTATAAGAGCTTTAATCTTTCTGCAGAGTTCCAAAATTTTCAAAAATCAACAATTGCCTGATCAAATTAAAAAAAATCCAATACTATCCTATAAAACTGATATTCAAAAAATTCTGTATGTAAATTTTAATCAGATTTATTTGACTATTAATATTGTATTCATTATCCTTAAAATAGCAAATATAATACTAATCGAACATATAAAGCCATTATTTTTTCATTCCTGCAAGAAACATGGGAGCAAATATGGGAAAGAAAATTACTACCAAATTTGCCTTCAATAATAAATAAAATAGCTCTTGAATATTCTTCTGTAAGTTTACTTATTACTTTCAAACTTTAGTTTCTAGAAATGAGACTAAGTACTTTTTAATTCTAGATGTTAAATAGTTTTATACCAATGAAAGATATTCATGATAGATGGAGTAATAATTTTTCCAAAGCTGTAGGATTAGTAAGTCGAAATATGGAGATTTTTAGTCAAACTCAAGTAATCTTTCAAAATTTGTAAGTGTGTCTATTGTAATTAATAATTATTGTAACAATGAAATAACTTTTGTTTGTAGTTTATTTCTATGTGAGAAAGGTATCGATACAAATAACGAGGACACATTTGTTCATGGAATGTTGCATGATTTACTTAATGAGATTTTCCGTGATCCTACGTTTGAACTAATTTGGGCGAATAGTGAAAGGTTCGTTTCCAAAAACTGTCATACAAGTACTTCAGGTAATAAGGAAAATAATAGAGGTGAAAAACCTGATTTTAAAATTATTACAAATTTAAAAGAAGAAATACTTTTTGATGAGATAAAACCTAAAGATTCAACATCTTTATTGGTTGGTAAAGACCTCATCAAGTTGTCAAATTTCCAATCGGGTGCATTAGATGAATTAATTAAACACATGGAAATAAGATTGGTCTAGCTTCATTTGGAGTTTGAGTTAGTGGTAAGTGTATAAATTTGGAGTACATTTACTAATAAATGATGGTATATATTAATATTTTAATGCATATTTGGTTCCATTTACAGGCTCATGCATTTGGATTTATGAAATGGATCTCAATTATGATGGAATATATAGAATGTTTTTAAAAGCAAATGTTATGATCCAAACAGAAACATCAGGAAGTTTTTAGATGGGTCAGTCCATGTAATTCCACATGGGTTTGCTCAGAAATACGTGGAATTCCACACATTCCCAATATCCTACATGGATCCACACTGAATTTTGTGGACTTATGCTGAAAATACCATGTGTTTTGTCACAGGGTATTTGGAAAATACTGGAACTGTTTAGATTTCCACATATTTCCATAGTATTTGATGTGGATTTCCATGTGGATTTTAAATGGAAAAAAATTCCTGATGAAGAGCACAATTCTTAAATCTAATACCAGTATTAGACGCATTATATGGTGTCAAAGTAAGTAATAAATAGTGGTTTTTGTTTATTATTTTTAGTGAGGTTGCATTTAACACCATATGACTTTAAGGATCATATGTCTGAAGTTCTAGAGATATTTGCTTCTGATACTCTGCCAAGTTCGCCATGCTCTACCTATCAGAATGCCTATTCCGCCACCAAAATTAGTAAAGATACCAATTGTTCAGTCATCCTGCGCCACTTCTAACTAAACAAATATATGTTACACTATTTATTAGTAATATTAGTAAAAATGCAACATCATCTTTAAGTAAATTCATTATTTGTATAATGCAAAATTAAAATATTATTATACTCCGCGTTATTATAATTTAATGTTAAATTTAATTGCTTATTTAAGATTATTTAATGATTTCATAACATGATAAAATTATTTATATGACAATATCTTTTTTATTGTAAGTTTAGCAATAAAAAATTTAAAAATTTGATAATAATTCAATCTTAATGTTTAATTAAATATTTAATATAATTTAATTGATTTTTTTCTTATTTTTGCCTTGTAACGCAAGTGTTATTTATTTTTTTCTATTATTTCCATAAAGTTCCCATACAAAGATCTTTAAAACACTTGCAATAAATACTCTTTTGATTATGATCTACTCATACGTTTAAGGAATTTTTTTGGGTGAAATTTTAAATAATTATTAATCGGAAGGAGAAGCATATTTTATTTCTAACATTACATCTTTTACTTTAAAATCTGGCGTAATCCATGTAGCAGTGATGCCAATATACACTCCCGCGCCAAAAGTTTAGGACCACCTTTATGATCGGCATAAACAACACCTAAACAGTAATAATTACGCATTTGTGTAACATAAATAAAAACTATTTACGTTATTTATTGATTAGTAATGATAATTACACAAAATTTTAGCAGCTTTTTTTTTTGTTTAAAAGCAAAATGGTTAAAAAAAGAGAACTAACGGATTTTGAACGTGGAAAAGTTATCGGTTTTTATGAAGCCGGTGATTCAGAAAGAGCTATTTCAAATAAAACAGGCTATGGAAAAACTACAATTCATAATATAATAGCAAAATATCGTGAAACTGGTGCTGTTACTGTCGCTCCCAGAAGTGGTTGTCCTAAGAAACTAACTGAACGGGATAAACGGCATCTTAAAGCTATTATTAATAAAAACCGACGTGAACCTGAAGAAAAAATTAGAAAAATTTTTATGGAATCCACTGGAAATGATGTAGGTAGGCGCACCATACAACGAACATTGTATGGAATGGGATATAATAGTTGTGCAGCCTTAAGAAAACCCTGTGTTAGTGAGTGTAATCGAAAAATACGCTTAAATTGGGCTCGTGAAAGACGCTTATGGACTATAAATGATTGGAAAAAAATTGTATGGAGTGATGAGTCTCGATTTACTATGTTCCAGAATGATGGAAAAATTCGGGTTTGGCGTCTTCAAAAAGAAAAATATGATATTAATTTCCTTGTTCCAACCATGAAGCATGGTGGAGGTGGAGTCATGATGTGGGGGTGTTTTACATGGTTTGGATTGGGCCCTTTGGTAAGAATTTATGGTCGAGTTAATAGTCAAAGGTATATAGAAGAGATACTTGGCTATCACGTGATCCCTTTCTTGGAAAGATTTGAAGAAGAAAATGGTGATTATTTGTTCCAACAAGATAATGCACCGATTCATACAAGTGCAAGAACAAGAGAGTTCTGTGAAGAAATGGGAATAAATTTGCTATCATGGCCGGGGCAGAGCCCAGACCTCAATCCCATTGAGCATCTTTGGGATGAGCTTGAGAGGCGTATAAGAGCAAAGCAAAATCATCCTAAAAATTTAGGAGAATTGGAGGAACTTCTTCAAGAATGTTGGTCAGAAATTTCATGTGAGGTCTACCAAAAGCTTGTGGAGAGCATGAACCGTAGAATTGAGGCAGTTATAAAAGCTCGTGGATATCCCACAAGATATTGAGGAATGTTTTAATTATATTTTTATAAAGTTAGTTTCGGTAAATTGGTTTTTTTGTTTACATTTTTACCAAAAATTAAGCATTTTTTATTAAAATTTTTTTTCATTATCTTAACTTTTAATTTTGTGAAGTTATGGACCAGAATTTTTTTTTTTTTATTATACATAACAAGAGGTTTAATAAAAAGTTTTTATATTTTATTCATTTTACGAATTTTTTTCCTTCATCACTAAAAATCACGTGATGTAAACATTAGTCACGTGACTTTGCGAAATGCTGGATAACTAAATTACCGATAATTTATTTTTACATTTTTAACTAATAATAAAAAATTGTTCTTTATCCATTAAAGTAATTATAAATTACTTTTTATAGTTTATTAAAATATTAGTTGGTTAAAAAAAACCATTTTTTTAAAAATTTATTGGGTGGTCCTAAACTTTTGGCGCGGGAGTGTATCTGATACATATCTGCTACCCGATATATTGGTTTTTGACTAGTGGTTTTTACTATGATCGCTAAGCATTGTTGATATCTAACCTTGAAAATTATATAAAAATAAGTAGAACTCCGAACAGGTCAGCCAAATTCAGGTAACCTGACCTGATCTGACCTGAAATTCAGGTCAGATATGAAGATTGACCTGACCTGATTGACCTGTTGACCTGAAACTATTGATTCGACTATATAATAAAAGTGAGTTGCAGTATTGCGATTCACTTTTTTATATAAAAAAAGTAAGTTGTGGTATTGCAATTCACTTTTTTATATTGATTTTATATAATAAAAGTGAGTTGCGATATTGGGATTCACTTTTTTATATGATTTTAATATAAAAATGTTGAATCACAATATTTTGAGAGAAACCGTTTTTTTTTATAATATTATATTAAAAAAATATTTCATACCGTTTTTTTTTTTGATATTTCAATAATAACGTTGCGAAAACATTTTTTTCATAATGTTATATAAAAAAAACGTTTTGCAATATTTTTTTTCAATATTTTAATAAAAAACGTTGTAAAAACATTTTTTTTCATAATATTATATTTAAAAAAAAAGTTTTGTACCATTTTTTTTCAATACTTTAATAAAAATAGCCCTGAAATTTTTCAGATTTCAGGTCAGGTCAGGTCAAACAGACAACCTGATATAACCTGACCTGATCTGACCTGAAAAAAAATTTCAGGTCAGGTTTATCAATTAACCTGACCTGACCTGACCCATTCGGAATTCTAAAAATAAGCAAATCAATCTTTTAACCTAATTAAATTTTTATTATAACACATATAATTTATAAAACATATTTATTAATTAAATATATTTTATTAAATCCAATTTTAAATATGATCAATACATTGTGAAGCTAAACTAAACATAATATACAAATAGATTAACAATATTCAATTAATAAAGTTAATAAACAGTAAAAGAAAAATTTGAAATTAATACTATTACAAAAAATGTAAATTTCTCCATAAGTATTATACTTACACCCATAAACATTAATATGTAGGTAGTTTCGACCTTGCTGAACAACTTTCAATTAATTTAGAAAGTCGATTTCATTTGACCAAAGGGGTGTAATTACGCTCTGAAGTTGTAAACGGAGAAATGAAAAATTCAGAAGTTAGTACCGTTATAAAAAATGCACTTTTCTCCATAAGTATTATACCCACACTCATGAAAATTAATATATAAGTAGTTTCGACCTTGCTGAACAACATTCAATTAATTTAGAAAGTCGATTTCATTTGACTGAAGTGGTGTAATTACGCTCTGAAGTTATAAATGAAAAAGTGAAAAATTTAAAAGTTATTACCGTTATAAAAAATATGCTTTTCTATATAAATATCATACTTAGACTTATGAAAATTAAAATACAAGTAGATTTAACTTGCTGAACAACCTTACTTAAGCATAAAAGATAATTTGATATAACCAAAGTGGTGAGTAGTGAAATTATATTTTAAAGTAAAACATATTTACAGTAATTTTATTTAAAAAATAAACATGTATAATATAGTAATTTTATATTAAAAATAATACACTGAGTTTAATAAAAATTAAAAA